ATAAAAAAAAAATCATCTGGCATGTTCCACATTATGACGACGTGAGTTTTATCGATGAATTATTAAGGTGTGCAATGAGAAATAATGGAACAAACTAGTACCTCGCACGTGCGTAGCACTCGATCAAGGCTTTGACTGTGGAAGGGAATTCTTTTGATGAAAGTTAGAGCAGAAGTTGCAAATCACAATCATTGCTTGGACGAGTAATCATTTTGCGCGGCTAATTGACTTGGACTGAAACAGCGTTGGATAATGGAATTCCATAATGAGCGTGGGGTGATGAGGCACTCAGGTCGTTTTGTTGGAGCATAACAGCGGTCATCAAAGCCTCGTTACAAATTAATTGCTAGTAAACCTTTTCAGAGAAGTGAAATACCGCACGGAAAAGTCGAAGGGGAAACGCGACACAAATATTTGGCCACAAAATCTGATGCAATTACGCCACTGGCATCTGATGTTCATGGGAGCTATAACAGCCAATTATGCTCCATGCTATCTTTTATATCGCCAAGAACATGAGCTGAATAACAAACAATGTATTTCATACGACACAATTGCTTCAGTAAATTATTTTGTGTAACTTGGACAAAAACGTTTTGCTGGCAAGACAAGCATTTTAAAAAATATTTTAAAGTCTTGTGTCGAGTATTTCTTATCTGCCACGATATCTTACCAAGACTTTTAGGCATTGAAATTGCACGCACAGAAGTTAATTTTTTCATGTAATCTGTTTTTTACGTTCTCAATCTCAAATATCTGCTCAGCATCTGAGCTAAGGCTTCACATCTCATCCAAAGGAGTTAACCGCATTTGTAATTCAGATATCGACGTTCAAAAGTACCTTTCTAATATAGCACAACTAAAATTGTAAATTTTTAAATTCACCAATAAACTAAGATCTCACTTCAATTAGAGTGTATGATTTCGTGTCAAGTTCAAATACAGTCCAGTGAAATTCAAGCGCAGCGCATTAGTTAATCTACTAAGTGCTTTGGTATGCAAAATGTGAAGTATTCGAAAGTTTCATTTCCAAAACTCATCTCACATTAAGCTAAAGACATTCGTTCGGAGAAAACATATTCAGAGAACGTGCAAACAGAACTTCACGCTTTAATTAAATTAAATCCGTGTGACTCGAACCAACATGGCAGCCTGGCAGAGACTAAAACGTTAATTAGCTTGTTCTCATCAGCGAGCTCTCCTCACTCGTGGTTTCGAATGTAGAGCAAACACTTATACCATACCCAGCCTGCTGCTGTCAGTCCGTCACAGCTCTGACATCTACGACCACGGAGAACTGACACATTGATTTGAAATCTACCAAATTTTGCTTAATCATTCCACATATGTGGAATTCCACAAAATCATTAAACAAATATGAAATGATTTGATATCATTCTGTTTATGAAGCTGCCACATTTCATGCTTTAATTGAATCCCAATAAACATCGAAACATTGAAATTGTGCAGTGGATGGTGCCAACACACAGCTATAGACTCTCTGAGCGAAGGCTTTCGGCTCAAGCTGCATGAGTTATTGCTAAATCATTACTAATTTCCAGCGCACATAAAATATTTGCATAAAATTCATGATTGGAACAAACTAGTAAAGTAAACCTAGTAAATAAAATCCTCTTTTGGTTATATTCTCTTAGATTAATGGAAAAATCGCAAAGAATTTCGCAAAGAATGATGGAAATTTCGCAAAGCATTATGATGTACCCACAAGTTTCAGGTACTCCCGTATGGAAAACCACATGAATTATTCATGTACTTAATAATGGCCTGCCACGGCCTCGTAATTAATCACTTCTTAGGAAGAATTTGAAGGCTTTAAAGTCTGGCGGCATGAGCCTCCTCTACGCATCACTTGTTTGCCATCACTAAACGTTCGTGCAAGTCGAGCGTGGACTTGAATTAGCCAGCTTCTTCTTAAACATAATACGGCTCAACTCCCACCAGTTCCAGGAGGTGAAATTACTCCAGTTATTTAAATCCTATTTTTTAACAAAAAAATATCCTCTAAATAATATCAAACTCATTCTCAGATGATCGAAACAGAGTCGGTAGTATTGCAAATAGAAATATGTATCTACCTCAGTTATTTGAGGTATACTATTTGCGTTTGATTATTTAACGATTGCGAACGACGGTACAGTCAATGCCAACCGGTGCACCCCGAATGAGAATTAGTGATTTTATCTACTTTATATGATCTTAATTCAAATGTAAAATTCATTTTACTTTAAATCAGCAACTTTTCTAGCTTTTAAATAGACACTTTCTAGTGCAAACAGAGAGTACTATATATTGGGGATACGATTAAATCACTATAGTATCAGACACCGATAACCAATAAAATATTAGTCTGTTTTTGAAGATATTCATACTCGGAGCTTCAACGATGCTATCAGGGAGGCTGTTCCACATGTCGGTGACTCGAAGCGAGAAGAAATGTTGTCGCATGGATGTGTTCCAACGCTGTTTTTTAAGTTTATAGCCGTGACCCCCGGTGTTGGTTCTTGTTTCAAATTCTAGTAATTAATCCTTCTGGGACCTTGTATAAGCCTTGTATGATTAAATCACTATATTATCAGACACTGATAACCAATAAAATAGGATTGAGACGGTTTTAGGGAAAGTAGGATTTAAAATTAATGTAATTTGATATATGTGATAATTTTATTAATCACTTTATAAATACGGAAGTTAGATATGTAGGTTCCATTCGTTCTTGTCAGTTCGTGCCTTAAACCTTCAGTGCCAACGTGTGTCTCCACTATGTTTGAGGATTGTTCCTAGTGTTTGCGTGTACTTTGATTTGTTCTCATTTATTTGAAGGTTATTTATTCCTTGCTATTTTCCCTTTTACAGGGAATTTGAAATTCTGGTTCAAAAATGTGGGTTTCAGGGATTTGTGGAAACAAGAGTAGAGGGATACCTGCATTGACTTTTATTACACGCCTTAGTGAAGTCTTGAGAGTACGATATTTACAGCTGGACGAACCTGGATGACATCAACAACGGAACACAAATTAGTTGAAAATAGATGAATTAAACAGTTTGTAGATATACAATTGCATCGTGCAATTTATTTTTACCGCCTGTTGTCAAAAGTAAGCTTTCTTATGAGATTTGCAGGATAAGGTCTTCAGGAAATTATGTGAGAGTATCACGTACAGTCACGTAAGCCATTGCAGAAGTTTTCCTTACTTCAGTGGCTTCACTTGTTTTGGCATTGCTGTCATCTTAATAATGTCTTCGTGGAATCTTCTTCAATGTTTATCGTTAAGATTAATTAATTAATTAATGAAAATAGTAGTAATAACAAAAACAACAATAATAGTAATAACACTTATATTAATAATAATATTAATAATACAAATAATGATCATAATAATAATAATGATAGCGGTGACAGCGCTGATTAGGCCATTGGACCTGTCGCTAATTCTGAAATTTCCCAGTGGGAACATGTTTCCGTGGAAATGGGAAGAATGAATCGTGAATGGCATTCAATCTTATCCTCAAAAGTTATCGTTTTCTGCTCATTACAGGCTTTGTAATTTGGTGCTCGTGTGTTGCGAAGAAACTAACCATAGACAGTTGTAAGTGCTCCCTCTGCTCTCAGATCCTTTAATTTCTGAAGCTGCTCGAATAAGTTCCTTCAGAAGAATCTGAGGTCCGAAAAGGTCGTCCTTCTTGAGCTTATACCAGCAAGACCTAATTCACGGCACCCAGGTGTTGGGAGGGTCCCTCATTTCTGTCATACGTTTTCGCGAAATTCTTCAACAAACGAGCTTGTTGAGAACAGTAGGAAGAAGCACCAGATTCATGCCCGCGTGAAGATCCTCATTGATGCTACTTTGCAGGGAGTCCTTTGAGGGATAGTGAACATTCGATGTTGTTTTAATGAAGAACATACTGAAAATATAAAGAAGTAATCTAAATCAAACACAGGACGACGAACATATTGAAGATATAAATAAGTGATCACATCGAAGGCAACAAAATGTGCATTAGAGAATGTCATGCTAACATATGCAGCTATGTGATAAGTGCCTCCAACAAACTTTTCCGCCACCTGTAAGATAACATTGTCGTATGACTGCCGGAGTTATGAGTATAGACCTTTAGCCCTAACTGCAACAATCCACATTGCAAAAAATAACTATTAAATTGTACCGAAGTGACATTTATCGAATTACTGACATTTATCGAATAATGATTAAAATTAATTACAGGGTATACAATATTATATTTAACTTTGCTGAATTTGCACCCTGCGGTATCTTATTTACAAGAAATGCACTCTATATTTGATCAAAAACTTGAAGTTTGTAAAATAAAAATAAATTTTCAACTCAAATTTGAAGCCATTATTCGTTAATTTGGTGTAAAGATGGTTATTTAAAGATGGTTTGGTTATTTTAGGCAGAAAACAGGATGTTATTGCAGCACAAGTCGTACGTAGTAACGGATGCTGACCTAGTCTACACTTGGAAAACCAACATCGGAGTTTCAACAGATCTCAGTGAGAGTTCATAAAGAGCTTAAAATTCGGTATAAGGATACTTTCTCTGATATATCGCATTAACGAAATATTCGACTGGCTACTTAAACCAGCAAGCAAGCACAATTGGGATTTGTACTGTTACACTAATGACCTCCTTCTTTATCAGAAGAGTTGATGAACAAAAGATGCTGGAAGCTGTTTTCGCTTGAACTTTTTACAGCTAGAATGCAGATGTATTTGATAGTAAACGTTATCGATGCAGCGTCAGAGCTTTAGGACTTTTATTAATGACGGAATAGGTCAACTCAATTTTCTTAGGAATAATATAGACCAAATTCATTAGAGTTGGGTATTTTTGTTCAAATACAAGGAAAAAGACATGAAGTGTGCGATTAAGCAAGGTGCGGCAGTGAGCAGGCATCAGAACAATCTGCATGGGTAATCCCCTGTAAGTAAACCTCCGTTACCAGCACAGTGCATAAAAGGCCGGCAGACGCGCTCGGTCATCACTAGAAGTCGGAACCGGCATTGCTGCTGGTTGCAGGTGGAAGGTTCTGAATGTTCTCAACACAAGCTTGTGAGTAGTGTGTTGTTTACTTCTGCAGGCTTTTTTTCTTCACTTATAATCCTAATGCACTGGCCACTCATTCTTCATTCTTTGGTGTGTCTTGTGTTTTTAGTCAAAAATGAAGAGTTCAGGACAAATTAATGCTGCTTTCTTTCAGCGCTATTCCTCTTGTTATACGCGATGTCACGAGACCTTTCGCGCTTCGTGCAAATATCAATTATTTGCAGTTACAAAGTCAGAACTTTAAATAAATTAAGTTTCAATATGAGATGGTGGACACGATAATGTCAGAGTTGAGAATTGGGACCAAGAGTGAATACGCTATGAAAACAGGTTTCATGGAGGGATTTGCATGAAATTTTGCTTTAATATTGCGAGAGGATTCTGTTTACACTCTCTTCTACTCCACTGAAATTATGTCCTCTAATACTCGATATATCTACGTCCTGTTCAAGTACATATTATTTACTGTTACATACCATAAATTTTAGCGCAATCTGTTGTATGATTCTGACGCTAGATCCTGCAAATTTCTAATTATTTTACTTGTATATTGTTTGATAGGACCAATTTTAATGGGTAAAACTTTACTGAGACAAATCTTGTAGAGGGTGCAATTTGATGTGCCCGTGAAGCATGAATGCGTTGTTTGCCGTTCAATGACACGTTTAAAATAGTGTTCCTTTTCTGCGTTCATGACACACTCCGGCTTTTTTTGTATGCAAAACAAAGTACGTGGAAACTCGGCATGTCCGAAATGACGGCCACGAGTCGCAGATAATCGGAAGCACCGCCGCATGGCGCGTCGCGTGCTGCCCAGCACCGCCGCATGGGCGCAGCGCACGATGGCAGCACCGCCGTATGGGCGCAGCGCACGGCGGAAGCACCGTCGTATGGGCGCAGCGCACGGCGGAAGCACCGCCGCATGGGCACAGCGCACGGCCAGGGATTTGCGCCCTAAAAAAAATGAAGGAGGAATTCTGCGCGTTGAGACGCTCAGCGAGTCGAGGCATAAACGACTAACGCCAGGAGTCGTGGTCAGAGCACTGATTGTTATAGTCGTCGCATCGTAACGGCTGTTATTGTTCAGACGATGCTGATGGCCGTGGTGTTGTCATTGTACAGATGCTAGTGACCATCGGAATTCTGGTATTGTGTTGGTTACTTTGTCATGGGGATAAAATTATTGTCAAGGTGGGGATCATTTTTTCATGGTTTGCTATACTTTCATTATTATGATATTGAAAAACCGCAAGTGGAACATAATAGAGTGGTTATATCTGGCTTCGGATGGAATTAATTAAGAGTCTACAGTGGAACTTTTACTATATTTTAGAGTCTATGTAACCACTCTATTACGTTCCACTTGGGGTTTTTCAATATCATATTTATGGAAGTTTTGTGATTTTTTTATAAATTTCTTTCCCAAGTTTAATGGTGTGGTCTTACGTTTCTCCTGTCGGAGGTCGGACGTTGTTCAAGCCTTGCATCTTCTAAAAACTGAACTGGCCGGAGTGAATAATAAATTGTTTCAGAAATTCTGCCGAAAATGATGATTTTCGGAAGAAAATGGTGTTTGTATTCTTCTGGTAACAATTAATATTATTCATAAAAATGAAGAACAAGATTCTCAACACATCTATTATGATAGAAGTGTAATTAGAAAGAGTACATAATATTAATGATGTCGGAGCCGAAATTGAGAAAACTTCACAGTGAAGACCACCGTTAAAATAAAAGAACAAGTTAAGCCGGCGACGATCTATTAGGCAAACATATTAGGTCAACTGAAAACATTTCCGGCCGAAGGTCTGTAATCTTGCAAAGAAAAAAACCCAGCGATTCTTCATAAGCTGCGATAAGTTCTAAACTTTCCGCCAGATGCATCCGTTGTACAAGTATTTCTGTTTTTTCATTGCCATTGGGAAGTATAGCTTCCCATCTGACTGATGTACAGGATGCTCCTAGCAGTTTGAAATAAAACCTGTACACGGTTGATAGAATGATAAACAGAAATATTCAAGAGTATCGCAAAACATAATAAATGAAATAGAAATTATAAAAAAAAAAGTTTAGATTGTTTCTCTTCGACCTACCCTGTCTCTCTTCACAGTTTACATATTGATTAACACTGTTTGCCATCACTTTGCTTAACATTGGAAGTCTACCACTTGCTATAACAAAAACTTTATTAATCTCAATATTACAGTCGCATCAGTTATTTTTCACGGATCGACATTACACTCTCCAGTCTCTGATGACACACTAACGAACATAGAATAGAAAATACTCGCAGCCACAATTTGCCTCTTGCGCACGCTAACTGGCCAGTAATATTAGTAGCACTCTATATAATGGTCATGCACCAGAACTGGCTGCCTCAACTAACCCTAACCATACGCAGCGTTATTTATACTGTCCAAATCAGTTTGTGATTGTCTTCTTCTTTAACTAGCATAATCAAAACAATTTTAAACTAACTATTTAGTTAATATATTCTCACACATAATGGATGATTAGGTACGTACTTGCAGTCATCAAATAGCCGTTGGATTTACGAGTTTCGGAAACACATCGCGCGATCTGAGAGCAGAAACGAATCTTATTGTCGTAGAGGGCTTACGATTTAATCGGCACTAGAACTTGAGTAATGGTAATAATGTTATTAAACATTGTTTTAATTGCAATTAATATAACAAAAAATCCAATTGTAATTATATGGATGAGTCACATTCTAATATTAACACAACTGAGGCCGACACGTTAGGGGCGCGGGTTTCGTATTCATTTTTAAGTATAAATTTAATCGCAATACAATTGCATTACAATCTTAAAAGTATTATTTCCACCACAGGCTTCCCTGCAACAGAAGTCATCATGAAACTCTTGTTGATCTTCGCCTTTGGGCTGGCCGCCTCGCAGGGCGCAGGTGAGTGGTTTGGCTCTAATTGTGTTCGATTTTTCAATTAAATAATGAGTATCCATGATACTTATCACCTATTCCTATCAAAAGTCATTCATTCCACTAATTAATTTTCTAGCGATAACCTCTTTCTATTCATACATTTTATCGTACCAAGACAAAAAATGCCATGAAAAAATGTTGCAAATTTTACCATGCAACAGTCAAAATATTTTTTGCATTTATAAGAAAACTGATCGGCTTTATGAGCAGACCTTATGACCTTATGATGAGTTAAGGACGTCGTAGTCCACGGTCACGCTGATGCACCGCCTTCAGCGTGACATTCAGAAATATTTGCTGAAGCAAATATTTGCAGCAAATATTTGCTGATACTGATATTGGCGTAGACCTCGCAAATATCAGCAAATATTCAGTATTTTGTAAACTGCGCCATAATTTTCCTCACGGAACTCCCGGACACCTTAATGCTGTTGACAAAACTGTTCCCTTTTGTGCATTGAAAAATGCTGTTGACAAAACTGTTCCCTTTTGTGCATTGAAAGTATTCAGCGACGGTATATTTCTTTCAGAAATAAAAGATGCCAACTCATGCAAGTCGTTCCCATGCCTCATCTTCAGCGATGATTTTAATAATCTTGATCCCGCCGCCTGGCAGCACGAAGTCACCCTTGGAGGAGGCGGGGTGAGTTCAACGTCTTGCCATATTAAAATAAGAACTGATGAAACTGATGCCAGTCAATTTTCGAACTGCATTTTCGACAGGTGTTTCTTTTTATCGTCAGTTATAAGTAAATCGAATGTTCATATGCGATCAGCGGAATTGGAATCATTTCAGCACTGAATGCCTTCCATATCGAACCTTTGACATCGCTGGTATAAAACGTAAATTCATGTGATAGTCCTAAGAGTATTTTGTGGTCCACAATACCTTGCTTGGTATGCAGCTCTGACCACATTCGGTCAGTTGGGATTAGGTTCGCTTGCAGGCTTGGGAGGAAAGCTCCCTAACAAATATAATAATAAAAATAAACATAAATGAAAAGTTATGGAATTATTGCCAGATGTGAATATATAAATTTCAAAATTCTCGAAGGAATCTGTTCTCATACAGATTATAGCGTTTATTATTAAAAAAAAATCATGGAAGTTCATCTGAAAAGCCAAAATAAATTAATCTAAGTTACCCGTTATTTATTTTGTTAGAAAATTTCACAGACAGACCAAAATATTCTTTGGTGTTTTTTAACCGAGGGCGTACTCAAAATTCCTGCAAACGTGCACTTTTATTAACATGGAATCCCTTTTTACTCCTCAGAACAGGGAGTTTCAAGCGTACGTAAATGACAGGAGCGTCACCTACACCCGCGACGGAACTCTTTTCATCAAACCGGTTAGTGAAGATTAATTTCACATTCACAAAAGAGGTAAGGTCAACCTGGTGCGGAGTGTCTCGCTAATTATACGTATTATTGTTGCATTGAGGGGCTCTAAATCGAAAAAATTCTGGGAAGTCACGTTTTCTGACCGCTTATTCTATTGAGCAATACTAGACAATACCTTAAATTATACAAAAAAAATAGAATAGTAAATTACATTTATCAGCAATATTCCACAAAGACAAAAATAAAATTAACCAAAATAAGCTGACTGCTTGCCATGATGGATTCTTGGTACCTGCAAGGATTTGTAGTGCATCTGCACTATGGTTCGTCTGCTGCCGCCGTAATAAAGAGATCTTAGAACAGTTTTATTTTTCTTACCATTCAAGCAAATTCGGTGGTCCTACTAACATATTACGCCTACTATACGAGGTACTTTAACCTAATCTTGATCTTACAGATTCAAGCCATAGTCTTTCATTTCTCTCTTTATGTAAGTCTGTTCTATTCCGCCGTCGCGGTCGCACAGAGCATGACTTCGAATGTAACAGAAGCTATTAAGAGTCTCGTACTTTCATACCTTATACAGTCAGCCACCGTTATACGGACAGTATAGGCTCCAAATATTTTATTGATTAAGCGCATCAATTCACTGCTGCAAAGTGATGATAATTTTACGGATGGAAATAGAAAATTTGGATTAGGTTCGCTTGCAGGCTTGGGAGGAAAGCTCCCTAACAAATATAATAATAAAAATAAACATAAATGAAAAGTTATGGAATTATTGCCAGATGTGAATATATAAATTTCAAAATTCTCGAAGGAATCTGTTCTCATACAGATTATAGCGTTTATTATTAAAAAAAAATCATGGAAGTTCATCTGAAAAGCCAAAATAAATTAATCTAAGTTACCCGTTATTTATTTTGTTAGAAAATTTCTGACTGACCAAAATATTCTTTGGTGTTTTTTAACCGAGGGCGTACTCAAAATTCCTGCAAACGTGCACTTTTATTAACATGGAATCCCTTTTTACTCCTCAGAACTGGGAGTTTCAGGCGTACGTTAAAGACAGGAGCGTCACCTACACCCGCGACGGAACTCTTTTCATCAAACCGGTTAGTGAAGATTAATTTCACATTCACAAAACAGGTAGGGTCAACCTGCTGCCGAGTGTCTCGCTAATTATACGTTTTATTGTTGCATTGAGGGGCTCTAAATCGAAAAAAAAATCTGGGAAGTCACGTTTTCTGACCGCTTATTCTATTGAGCAATACAAGACAATACCTTAAATTATACAAGAAATAAAATAGTAAATTACATTTATCAGCAATATTCCACAAAAACAAAAATAAAATTAACCACAATAAGCTGACTGCTTGCTTGCACGATGGATTCTTGGTACCTGCAAGGATTTGTAGTGAGTGCATCTGCACCACATGGTTCGTCTGCTGCCGCCGTAATAGAGAGATCTCAGAACAGTTTTATTATTCTTACCATTCAAGCAATTTCGGTGGTCCTATACTAACATATTACGCCTACTATACGAGGTACTATAGCCTCATCTTGATCTTACTGATTCAAGCAATATTCTTTCATTCCTCTCTCTATATATAAGTCTGTACTATTACGCCGTCGCGGCCGCACAGAGCATGACTTCGAATGTAACAGAAGCTATTAAAAGAGTCTCGAACTTTCATACCTTATACAGTCAGCCACCGTCATACGGACAGTATAGGCTGCAAATATTTTATTGATTAAGCGCATCAATTCACTGCTGCAAAGTGATGATAATTTTACGGATGGAAATAGAAAATTGACGAAATAATAACGAAATTTTATGAATGAATGTTAAAAGTTAAGCGCCACCTGCTTGCTGTTCAGACATTCCAACCAGAACTGGCGATATTTGAGAACCAACGACGTATGTTTACTTGTTGGATTACCAACCTCTTAACTGCTATCTCCATTGAACAATTCGGAAAATTTGGGCCTAGATTGTACATATAATGTACGTCAGGAACTGACTGCCAACAAACGAGGCGAAGCGTTCCTAACTACGGGGACGTGGGACCTCGGGGCGGAGTGCACCAACGACGCATGGTTTGGTTGCAAGAGGGTCGGCGCCAACGGCCTCCTCAACCCTGTATTGAGTGGACGGATCAGAACTCAATCCTTCTTCAACTTCAGGTAAGACGGCAGATGTTTGCTGGTATGTGTCCAGGAATAATCAGGTAGATGCTATTGAGGCGAGCAGAGTGGTGTGTGCAGTTATTTGTGCATTCAGATTTTAATTTACTTAGATGACTCATGGCTCATACGAGAAGCGATATGGGCTAGCTGACACATGCCGAGGAATTGCAAGGGGTAAGGTGGATTAAGCAAAATATCTGTTGTTAAACGAATATTATTCATTGAATCTGCCGTATCCTCCTACCTTTACCGGCAAATAAAGTTGAAACAACATTAATTACGACTTGATTTAGTTGAAATAATTGTTTAATTAAAGTATCTCAACATCAAACGGCGACTATAGGTGGCTATAGTTACACTTCGTTGACGCAGGTTCGGACGAGTGGATGTACGCGCTAAAATGCCCCGCGGCGACTGGCTGTGGCCCGGTCAGTGACTAATCTCTCAATTCTAATAATTGTTTATTTTTCGCAATATGCCACGGAAAATTCATACACTGATGTCACATTACAAAGGGCATAATTTAATCTTGTGGCCTTTCGGGGATCTTGCGCTGATAAAGCCCGATTACAAAAATCCATTTTATATTATTCCATTGCATGGTTTCCAGTGTAAGCTCATAAATCCCATCTGTGAGGTCTTCAATTCTATTTTATGGTATTATTCATCTTCTGAAAGAAATCCTCATATATCTTGATATCTACAGAATTATTTATTGCAGTTATTCCAGTACTTTAATAAGCTCCTAGAATAAAGTGTCCTTGACGAACGCGTTTATGTTCTCTTCAGCCATCTGGCTGTTGCCGAAGACTGACCACTACGGAGGCTGGCCTGCCAGTGGAGAGATCGACATCGTTGAAGCTCGAGGTGAGAAAGCACCTGATGAGGCAAAACTAAAACAATGCTGCCTGTCAGTAACATTGCCGATTTCTAAGAATTTTAAGGATTTCATTGAAAAAATCCATTTTCTTGCTCCAATTTCATTTTGTTTGCCAATTTATTCTGCAATGTTCATTTCTAGTGATGCGATCGACGTAAAATTCCGCTTATTTTACCCTATTAACAATGATTTACAGTGATTTACTTACACTGAGTTACGAAGATTTACTTACATTGATTTACTGAAATTTACTTACATTGATTTAATGAGATTTACTGACATTGATTTAGAGAGATATACCTACATTGATTTACAGAGATTTACTTAAAGTGATTTGCAGAATACAGCTTGTAATCTGACTCCACGATAGTTGACTTCAGTTCTATACAGGTATTATCTTGACGACAAGCAAGTGCTGCGTGTAGACCCTGGCAAGAGCTTCTGGGACTTCGGTGGTTTAGCGAACAGCGGCCGCGTCAATCCATGGAGCGGCGGCACCAAGATGGCACCCTTTGATCGTGAAGTGCGCTTACTGTGTTCACTCCTTTCTGTGTTTCTCAATATTTTGCCTTGTTAACAATGTTTTTCTTTTATATATTTTATACATTCGCAAGTTAAAATGTTATTCCACTGGTCTGTTGAATTTTACCGCAGTTCTACCTCATCCTGAACCTGGCTGTTGGTGGTGTCAATGGCTACTTCCCTGACGGTCTCTCCGGCAGTTCCCCCAAACCCTGGTCCAACCATCAACCCGATGCTCCTGCAGCGTTCTGGAAAGCTGTCAGTTCAGCGAACTTTCGTAAAACAGCTCTCTAAATTTAACTTATGAAACTTACTTGAATAAGTTTTCCCAACCGTAGATTTTACCGCTAATTAAAGTAGATCAGTACATGAATAGAAATCGTGGTTAAAATTAGTCTTACGAAGGCTGCGCGTCGGTCTAACGAATAACTTAGTATCGATTTCACTTTTTTCTTTCTTAGCGCTAGAGTCTAGACAAACAGCTCTTGTTGATGATTTTATATCAGTAATTAATATTATCTAGGCGTTTAGAAATAAAATTGAAAGCAATAAAATTTAAATTAAACAATAATTAGTACATTTCGCCCACAGAAGAACCAGTGGCTGCCATCGTGGCAGAACGGAAAGCCCGGCATCAGCGAGTCTGCGTCCCTTCAAGTCGACTACATCAAAGTTTGGAAGCTGTCTTAAGAATGTACACAATAGAACAGTTAACCATGAATTATTTCGCACCAATGTTCAGTTTAATTTACCGTGTCTTAGCACAGGCAGTAAATACATGAACAAAATCAGTTCCAAAATAGCGCGTTCATTAACAGTTCATTAATATATTCAGAGTACTCGTAATTTCAGAGTAAGTTTTTCGCCTTGTCCTGTAGTAGATTTTTCATGTTCACTTTACTGCATTTATACAGATTTATTTGACGACACTTTTTGTTGGCAGTATCATGTCAAAACATTTGTAAACAATAAATTGTTGAGCAGCACCTCGTTTATTTATAATTCTCGAAACTTTCTTCTTGCATTAAGTATATTGTGAATATTACATGCGTCGAATACGATTCATGAGCCCAGCTGCCGTGAATCCAGCAGTTTGACTCCAACTGTCTTTGACTTCACGTACCGGGACTGCACAGAAGTCAGTTCTGACTCCAGCTGCCTTGGTATTTTTTGTCGTAATATAAATAGAAAAAACTTTAAACTTCATCATTCATGAGCGAGAAGCTAAAGCCTAAGACGGCAAGCCTCTTGATGCACTATGAACTCGCTCAGTTGGTTGTAGTGCAATATTGAGTCGGGCTGTCGTATTCCGTGTGTGAGACAGGATGCTATGCGCAGTGCCCACAAGCATCATTTAATAATGTTCATGGACTTTGTTATACGAAGTACGGAAAATAGGCCTGATAAAAAAGTCTATTCACTTTCATTTTTAATACACGAAAAATTTGAAGCGGATTTTGTCGTTCTTTTCCGCAAGCAAACAACAAATTGCACTCAACACGATCTCATCCATACTCGCTACCTCGGACTAAAACTTTGAAACTTATGCAGCAAAGAAGTACTGTGGGTTTACATTTGGAAATCATTTCATTACTGAAAACATAATTGATCACAACTTTTCTCGTCAGTGTTTTAATTCTGAAATCAAAAATAAGGGCAGACCTTTATGGTTAGTATACTGAGAGGACATGGTATCTTTTAAGTTAAATTTATTTAATTTTACCACCATAAATTTATTACGGATATTACCGTCCCTAATCCGCTTCCAAATTTATTTATTGGCTAAAATTACGTGCAATTTGATACCCAAGCCTGAAGCGTAGCTAGGGACGACACCCGGCGTCTGTGTATTGGCACATCCCCCATAATTTTATTCCTACCTGTATTTCCGTTATTTTGATTGGACCAAATCCGTCCTCGCTCCGAGAATTGTGCTTTCAATCTGTTCTCTATCAATCATGAGACTTACATACTTCATTATATTTCTTTAATATTCAAATTTTTCCTAAATACCTTAATTCTATGAAACTACTCGTACTAACTAACAAGTAAATGAGCTTGGCTCCCTATAAATTGACAATGATAGAGTATAAATAGAATAAATGAAAGGAAAATTTGTGAAATTGATGATTAATATATTGTTCTTTGCTTGAAAGTAGTGAAAATTAATTTCTATTTTTCCTAATCCATGGTCGATTAAAATCTAATGCTTTCCAGTGATTCTCTTTTCAAATTGCGAGCACTCACTAAAGTTTTTCCGATAAGGCGAAAAAAATAGACCTGATCAACCCACCATGGGCAGAACAAAAGGGTAATTAACATTATAATAACATAGTGACATTCACATCATACTCTGGTATTTGAAACCTGCGACGTACTTCAGAGTGACGAAACCTGCGACGTACTCCACGAACGTGCCTCCTGTTGCCATTGAATGCTTTACACTCCTCAGAACTTAGAGTTGTAGTAATTCGTGGAGGCGGGATTCTCATCAAAGATTGATGAGAATCCCGAATGTTATGTTATAATTGTAATCGATAATTTCCATTCAACGTGTAAAAATGGAAGATCATTCTACAATTAACATGATTTTCACAATTCCATGAGCGTGAAATTAAGTACCATCAGATGAAAATATTGTCTTCGCTTTTATTTGAGCCATGATTCAGAAGTTAAAATTTGAAGAATCGGCTTCAAATGTACGTTTATCTCCAAATCTCGACTGACGCAACACCTGTTATCTCTAATGATGATTATGGCACAGTTACCCAGCGACAGATGAAGCCCCGCTTGCGGGTTATCACTTATCATTTTGCGGGTTATCACTTCATTGGCCAAAGTTTCGGGCTCCGAGCAAGTCATAATTAGTTGAAACGTCGTCATATGAGCAGTAGAACACATCAGCAGGTCGGTGTTAAGTTTTTTAAACATCAGTCGTTACATCGATTTACTTATTAAAATCGTTTAATTTTAATTCAGATACGCGTATCTCGTACCGGTTCTATCACATTTCTTGTTGTGAGCCCTAAATGCTGGTTTTTAGTATGACATCACTGACCGCACCCAATTTTCTATCGAAATGTTTTCTGGGCAAAAATTTCACCCTCATGTTTTCATTCGCTGATCTCTTTTCCGATACTATAAATTATGAGTTTGAACTCAAAATAATGCAACGCACAAAGAGAATTTAGTCAGCTGAATAAAATCAGAAAAATGTACCGTTTTTTTATGCACCCGGAAATCATACCAGTTTTATCCAAATGACTTATAAATGTTGGAGTGTGAGCCTTGCAAACGGCAAATTCTCCTTATGGAAATAAATAGAAATTTCATTAAAAAATTTCAATGCATAAGCTGAGCACATATAGTCATAGAGATTCCAGTTATGAATTAATAAAAAAATGTTTCGAATGATTGCCACTGCGTGGATTCAAAAAAGTTTTCTCAAGGGGCCTTCTGACGTGTGTCTATGCTCGTCAGAAGTCCTATAGGATTTCGCGTTCTTGGAGCATTGTTCCTCAGCGCCCCACCACAAAGATGATCAATCTTTTGATCATCAGAAAATAAAAATTAAATTTTCATCAAATCACATTGAGTTGAATATGCATTATTGAGTGACTTCACTCAAAAATTCACAATCATATCGATAAAAATGCATTTTTTGCAAACGGTTTATTTGATTCATGACTTTAAAAAGTTTGCCCTCGAGAACAGGCAAGATCATCCTCATTAACTTAAAATAATAAGTTCCATCAAGGATTGCACCTGCATTACTGGGACATTTTTGGGAGCGAATATAATTACACGTGAGTTTATACACTGCAGTGCATTACTTAAGTGTTGGTCACTTACTTATTAGCAAACCATTTATTTTGAATTGGAGTCCGACAGCGAACATTTCGATCAGCTAGTGGTGACGTCATTGACATGTGCGGAAAATGTGGCCTCAGGTTTTGTTTCATTGCACCATAATAGTCTCTATATACAGATATAGTCTCATTGTGCAGCAGGAATGTGTGATGGACGAAATGTACGAAAGGAAGAATGAACAATGAAGCTTCTACATTGAAGAAATGATTCGAGATAACCAAATAAATTATAATATTTGTTTTACTCGAACAGAATGAGAAGTACATAAAAATAGGGTGAATGGCTAATATACAAATAGAGCAGTATTTTTGTAAAAACTTATCTTTGTATCGTTGTTCACCGCCGATATCGCAGTAAAGCTTTTCCTGTAAACGAATCTATTACAAATGGAAATTCGATCTATATCGAATCGAATTTTCTCTCGTTTAAAAAAAGGTGTTCAAATAAAATAGCTCCAAAAATCTTTCGTGTCTCTTTCGATCTGTAAGAGAAGAGTTTGAAATATTTCCTTATGTACAATTTCCTAAGCTGATTGTACATAACGCGCCGTATTTACCCAAGAGGAAAACCTTCAACTAAAGCCCGGCTTAGTTCTTCTTCACACTCCAGTCTTTCATCATACACTATACGACTATATCCTTTCACCGTCCCATCACTCACGATTATTTATGGCTCGCTAATTTAATGCTGTGAGGTTCTGCAAATTACCAAGGCAATTATCTGTAGCAAAAAGGTCTTCTGATAGTGACTGGCTTTTCTTGATGGCTTTGCTGTTGCTTTGCTCATGCACATACATAAGGCGTGGAAATTAAAGTATTTTAGATTTTGGAAAGTTCAGGAATTGGCTATCACGGCTCCAATGCTTGCCTGAAAAGCAAAATTATACGTACGATTTTAGGAGCGCCTCTGACATTGACGGAAAGCTGAAAATGGACTTAAATTCACCGCCGTGTCTCATATCTTTATTTTCTTATAAAATATGCTATTAGCCACGAGTGAAAATTGCAATAGTTCAACGAGTTAGGAACTAAACTTGCAAAATATGTACGTATACGGAACACGGGGAAAATACGTACGCCTGCATTGTAATAACAGTTGATTTTTTTTCCAAAAATCATGCAATCTTAATTGTTGTGCGATCACCGGATACATCAGAAGCCATGTGCAAAAAAACTACCTCAAATCACGCAACTTTTTTTTTGCAAGAATAACGGCAATCTTCGATAATATTTTCTGCGCCTAAGAGAAATAATGTATCAGACCAAGAATCATAATTCCTTGTATAAAAATCTTGGCAAAATGGCCGAACAGAAAATGACAAATTCAAAATACTGAAGCATAATTTCCAGGTATCAGTTGAATAGTGCAGGTGCACTACTTAGCCTAACAAAAATAGCAAAAATTAAAAAAGCGACTTAGCATAACAAAAAAAAATAGAGTCGCTTCTGGGAAATAGCGTGCACGTCCGACTTTTCAGAGCTATACAATCCAGACTTCCTGCAATGCAGAACTGACAGCTCTCGGTCTGTAATCCTCTCACACCACCAGCAGCTTCTTCCGCAGTAAAGCTGTTTTGATCCCGGGCCAAATATTATATACGTGCGTTTGTTAATTTGTTTATCCGTGCTTTGAGATAAATTTTTATTGTATATACAATCCCGCATCGCTGTGCAAAAGACTTCACCTTGAATCTCGGCAGCTCGCGGATGGTCGGTGCATAAATATGATCTGATATTCCGTAGTATCCTTAGTTTCTATAACATGTGTTCCGGAAGCAGCATTCCGGAACACATATTACGCCGGAGCGCCACCGGAGGAGATCGGGGTGCGACTCCAATATAGTGCAGTTTTGTAGCCTTTTGATACAGGGCCTGATTTTTAAGGCTAATTCTGTCAAATAGTACTCTCCTTTTTAACAGACAAAATTTTTAAATTACGTTTCAAAGTGAAACCGGTCTCTCCCTCTGTTATCATTTGCATGAGTACTTTTCTGCAATACGGAGCGGAAAATAGCGTTCGTCTGAAGAACGCTTTTGATGAATAAGGGATTACTTCTTAATTTTTTTATTTTATATTAAATGTTACAAACAGAGTTCGGGGCCTGGTATCGGTAGTG